AAAAAAAAAAGGAAGAAAGAAAGAAAAATTAAAAAAAGAAAAGAAAGAAGGAACGAAAAGAAAGAAGAAAGAGAGAGAAGAAAAAAGAAAAGTTGCAGGCATTGAATGTGGGAGGAAAGGTCAGAGACTTCTGCTGGTATGTGACTTATCATCATGTTATTAAGGAAAGAATAAACTAGGCATGGAAAAATGACAGCAGCTGTGGTTGAGGCATAAGTGTCTGACAAAGAGGATGTGTGTAAACAGCACGTGTTTGTCATTCCTGCTGGGTTTAACTTTGCTTATTTTCTAGATAATTCAATGGAGTACATTCTAGTAGTCTGCTGTAGAGTATGGCTTTAGCTTCTTACAGCTGAACTGGCATCAATTGTCAGTTGGCTTTACGCTAGACTAGTCTCAGTTCATATCCTTCACCGAGAAACCATATTTTTTATTCATACAGCTGTACAAGCTGAAAGAAAATTGGGAAACTACATATTACAAATATCTACACATGGTTGTAAAACTTCAGTTAATTGAACAGGAGCTAATAACAATAAAAACAGAACAAAAGAAGTGTGGACACCTACTCACGAACCAGAAGGACTTAGAAAAAGAAGTTCTTCACCTCAAAAGCTGGATGCGAGAGAACGTGGTAGGTGGTATGAGAACAATGTAACCCGAACAGAACCTGAGAAGAGCAGGCAATTTGCAGGTAGCTTTTTTCTTTTTCCTTTTTTTTTTTTTTTTTTTTAATCTGCAACATGCTTGAATTCATTTCAGCACAGCGGTAATGCTGATTCTATCCCTTGCATTTCCTCTTCTTCCTACAGCAGTTGACTTTGTAGATTTCTGAACGGGTAATGTGGATTAGATCCCTTGCATTTCCTCCTCTTCCGATAGCGGCTGACTGTAGATTTCTGAATGGCATACATCCTTCTTTCAAGTTTTCAGTATGTTTTAAAGTTTAAAGTATGTCACTGTTCTGGTTTGCTTTTCTTTTCTTTCTTTTTTTTTATGTACAAAATATTTTTTTTAATTTATTTTACAATACTATTCAGTTCTACATAATAGCCACAGATTCTCTTGTTCTCTCCCTTCCTGCCCCCCTCCTGGTTTGCTTTTCTATGGCTGTAAAAAAACAAAAACAAAAAAAAAAAAAAAAAAAAAAAAAAAACCACTGAGTAAGAACAGCTAGGGGAGGTGTACTGGCTCCTCCCATGTCAACTTGACATACGCTAAAGTAATCTAAGAGGAGGGAACCTCAAGAAAACGCCTCCAGCTAGGCGGTGGTGCACACCTTTAATCCCAGCAGAGAGGGAAGGAGAGGCAGGAAGATTTCTATGAGTTCTAGGCCAGCTTGGTCTACAGAGTGAGTTCCAGGACAGTCGGAGCTACACAGAGAAGCCCTGTCTTGAAAAACAAACAAACCAAAACAAAGAAAATGCCTCCATAAAATCTGGCTCTCTTAGTTAGTGATTGGTGGAGAGGACCTACCCCATTATGAGCTGGTGGTCCTGAGTTCTATAAGAGCGAGCCATGGGGAGCAAGCCTGTAAGCAGCATCCCTCCATGGCCTCTGCATCAGCTCCTGCCTCCAGGTTCCTGTCCTGTGTGAGTTCCTGCCCTGACTTCCTTCCATGATGGACTTGGAATCGTAAACCAAATAGACCTTTCCTCCACAACTTGCTTTTGGTCGTGGTGTTTATCACAGCAATAGGAACCCTAAGACAGGAGGAAAGTGTTCGTAATAGGCTCACATGTCCTGCTCACAGGCCGTCACGGAGAGAAGCCAAGGATGGAGCTGAGGAAGTAGAAGTGGTGAGACACTTCTTCCTGGCTGGACCTCCAGGTGCACTCAGCCTGCTTTCTTACACAACACAGAACGCCCGCTGGGGGATGGCACCGCCCACAGTGGGCTGGGCTGGGCCCTCCCACATCAGTCACTAATCAGGGAAATGCCATATATGCTTGCCCACAGGCCAATCTGATGGAGGAAATTCCTCAAGGGAGGTTCCTTCTTCCCAGATAGGTCTAGGTTAGTATCAAGTTGACAAAATATTGATCTTCCACAACATTTTAATTAGATAATCATTTGCATTTTAAGACAATTGAGAGGAAAGGAAAAATTAAAACATGCTCTTAAATATTTCCTTCAGTTACAGATAGGTTTTTAAAATGTTTTTGAGTTGATTCTTTTGTTCTGTGACTTAGGAAACTACATTGGGGCTGGCATGAGGGTGACGCAGGGCTGAGGTAACGAACACAGGGCCCGGGTTCAACTCTAGCACCATTCAAAGGAAAACAATATACTATTCTTAGGTTTTCAAGTTTTTAATCAGGTTTTGGTTTTTGTTTGTTTGGATTTGTTTGAGACAAGGGTTCATTCTATAGACCAGACTGACTTTAAATTCAGAGATCTATCTGCCTCTGCCTCCCATGTGCCTGGCTTTATGTTTTCAATGTAATGCAGTTGACACTAGTAATAAAAATTGTAAGTCCCAGCATCTTATTTAACACACTTACAACTGCCTGTGAGTCCATGATTCTTAACGAAAGGGAACAAGAGCAAAGTGATTGATCAAAAGTTAATTATTTTGGAATTTTGTACTTTTTGCTTTAGACCCAAGCAAGAGATGAAAACCACACTGAGGATTTAAGAGACACTAATGATGTGGTAATGATAAGCCAGATGGAACTCAGAATTAAAAACTTGGAATCTCAGCTGGCCACGAGGGGAGCTCAGCAAAGTCTCCGTGAAGGGGGAAGGCTGAAATCCGAGCACCCTTATGCGGGAGAGAGTGGCCTGACGCAGCCATTGAGGAAAGAGCCGAGTGAGCAAGCCAAGCAGAGTCCACGGAGTCCACGGAAATAGCGGAGCTCGGCTTGCCTCTGCCAAGGCTGACAGACTCGGAGTTAGAAAACGGATGTGCACTTGAACTGCCTGCCGTTCAGGGAGGCTCTTGTTTCTTCCTTTTCAGTTTGGATTTCTGTGGCCGTTTGCCCCTCCCCAAGGCTCTCATGTAGCTAGCCTGATTCGTGAGTCTTTTAGATTAGTATCGAAAGCTTTCTATATAGGCATTTATATGCTTATTAAACTACTCTTTGCCATTTTAATAAATAGAAATCTTAGCATGTGTTAACTATTTGGGAAGTATTACAACTTGAATGGTGGTGGACAGGGAGTAATGACAGACTTGCCCTGGCATGTTCTGACTTTCCTGGATTAGGATCTTTGGTGTTACCTATGGAAGGGTCTCTGTTAACAAACTGTCATTGACAAGTTTTCGAGACTGTTTAAGACATGCTTATGACACAGGAAAGAAACAAATGAAGGAAAGAATATTCAGAAAATCATCAGAATAACTGCATGGTCAGTGTGAAGGGGTGTGAACCTCGGAAAGTTCGGCCCCACCCTAGATGGCTTGGTAAAGTCACAACAATGGACCTCAGCCACGCTCACTCTGCTGATCACCAAATCCAGTTGTCTCCTCCTCCCCCAGAGTCGCTCTCTGTCATCCCTCAATCATGCCTTGGTCAAAAAGGACGTTAGCCCAGGTTTCAGGTGAATTGTGCAGCCAGTAAAAGCAAAACCTTGAAAGGGCCAGGCGATGGTGGTGCATGACTTTAATCCCAGCACTTGGGCCAGCCTGGTCTACAAAGCAAGTTCCAGGCCAGGCACCAAAGCTACACAGAGAAACCCTGTCTCAAAAAACAAATGAACAAAAAACCTTGAAATGACTTTAAGAAAGAACTTTTTTTTTTTTTTTTTTTTTTTT